TCGAACGACGGTACTACGATTTTTAAGAAAACCACATTGAATATTTGTTATTTAATCATTGAGTTTCTCAATACCATGGTAATCTACTATTGCCCATGCGTTACATTGTTTTGCAAACACAGTTGGGCAATGAAACAGGTCGATAATTTGATAACAGTCTGATCCCGTTCAGATGTAGGTATTGGGACAACTATACCATCACGCTTTGAAGAAGAAAATTCAGAACATCCAGATTTCATCAAATATTATTAAAACACGATTGCGGTAAATAATATGAGTAAATATATATTCGTATCAGACTATGTAATAGTATCATGAACATTTCATTATAGTCTTCTCCATTAACTAAATTGAAAAAATTATTTTCGTCTCTTGGTGCGGTTTGTATTTCTGAAATTGAGGTGCATAATTTGAAGAAGAATGTTTAGCAAATGTTTCACTATGCTTATTTGCCATATTTCATTATCTGTTATTTTTAAGATGGTGGATGCTAGATTTTTTTCTTCTCTGAATCATGTTCCATTCCTTAGACATGGGAGTTTGTAAGTTTTTTTTGACAGATAGTTTTGCTAAGACTGGCGTTTATTTGGCTTGAAAGAACGCCGAGCTTTTGAATTTAAGGTCCTGAATTTATTGAGGCTATGTTCCATCGGAAGGAGACGATACTGTTCAGCCTTTTCCCTTGCCTTCCTAGCTTGTTTGCAATCATTGTTAAACCATGGCCAACAATCAGGAGCATCAATAAAAACATCAGGTTTTAGCTTGTTAGAGCAAAGAATGTGATGTAAAACACAGTTAGCTTTAATAAAATTCCATCGGGATGACTGAGAAACATCAGATGGTGTATCAGAGTTTTATATGTTTGGAACATGGTCCCTCCCACCGAGGTCGTCATGGACTGACCATAAATGCAGCAAGTTAATTGGAATCTTAAACTGACAAGTCCAGACAAGAGTTAGTTCCAGTTGTAGGATGTAGATTTAAGTACGTTGTAGAACCATCATGAAAAATGCAAAAATAGCTATTTAAGAAAAAAAATTCAAATTAAAAAGAAGTTATTTTCCCTATGTGTTGGTGTCATTGCTACCCCAAAGTGGGTTATGGCCATTCAGGTCTCCCATGATACACATGGTTCAGTGGCAATGGGCGATCTGGACCGGGAGGGCGGGTCTACTCCCAATGGCCTGGTTAGTAGTAACCTTCATCTCCAAACGGATTGTGAATCTGAAAGGTCAAAGAAGATGGCACCTTCAAATTTGGAAGGGCCTTGGCCAATTTCTCATCTGATTCTTTTCCTATTTGGTTGGGTGAGCAGCACCTTTGACAGTCTCAGAAGGTTTTAGGCATTCTGGCTTTGATGTCTGTGAAATCGGTTCCTCTGTTTGAGAGGCTGACACTGTTGTATCTTGTGTTTGATGTATCGGATTTAATTCTTCTATGGATACTTTTTCATCGTTACTTCATGAAATGACTCTATGGCACAATGTAGACACTTTGTATGTTTGACTTAAGGATTGTAAATTGTAGTACAAAAGAACGCACAAGATTTAGATGATGCCAAATGCACACCGTCGCAGTTGGCACACTTGTGCATTTAGCTTCGATTACAAGGAATCGAACCCAGGAATCAAGATTTGTTTCAGCCTCATTAGATGAACTTGAGTCTAAATGTCTTCTTTTCGAACCAGAATGATTGTGAGCCATGATGAAAGAAAATTGTTCTGCACCCCTGCTCCCCACCCACCAAGGAGTGCCAAAAAGACGATGTTGTAATGCACCGGATCTCCAACATGCAAACATCAGGGATACAGGGGTGGTATACTCCAGTAAATACGACACGAAGAGCTATATTTGTCTACCAATTATAATGTCAGACTGGTTCGGCCTTTGACAGAAAATTGGAGACATTCAGAAATCATAGGTCGACATCACCAGATTGGCCCATGAGCCACCGCCTTCTGGCATAAGACTCTAGGCAAATTGTTACATAAATAATTTGAGAATGCGAACATGTTATACATGGCCAAGTCCAATTATTACATTTATCAAAATCACGTTTGTGCATACCCAATTTTATGCACAGGGCTTGGCGTGACCAGCCGATTGGTAGAATCGGGCCCATTCCTTCACCCGTCTAGGTGAAGTTAGGGTCGAAGTGGTGTGTTGGGCAAATGGAACAATTGTTCCTGGCTCCAGTGCCCTCAACCACCAGACTCCCTTCCTCCACCGACACAGGGGCGCAACCCACGGCAAACAGGTTGCCCAATTTAGTTGCCTCATACGACCAGCTGTGGACGCATTCTACCCCGGGTCCTCACGGGAGAAGAGCTATTAGCGTTACCCAGCACTCACCACAGGGAGGTTGCTCTTCACGAGTGCCGGTTTATAAAAGAAATTGTTGTCCGATACATTGAAACCCGCATCTTTGCAACGTCTCATTGCTCTACGCTTTAATGACACTGGTACATTTCAGGTAATTATGGGGGATTTAAGTGTCCACCAGACCACAGTTTGTATTCTTATTCAGAGGGCCAGTGAGGCACTAGCTAAGTTATGGCAGAGGTTTATTCAAATGCCATCTAGGTCCTGTGTCAGGCGTGTAAGGACAGGTTTTCGTAAAATGGAGCAATTTCCGAAAGTGATCGGGGCATTTGACCTCACAAACATACCTACTTCAACGCAGAGTGCAGCAGATGCACTGAGGTTTGAAGTGACAGATAGTGCTAGCGCAGGTTTTCAATGAGACTTGAATCTGTACTTTACAAAGAAGGTGTTATCTCACAAGAAGTGGGATTCATTGCCATTCTTCTCAAAGGGCCTGTGCTAACTGATGTTTGTTATAAGGGCGACCTGGTTGTGTTCTAATTTGACAGTCAAGGTCATCCCAAAGGTGTTCTAAAGGTGATAGGTCTGGTGATTAGCCAAGGCAAGATGTATGGGTCCTCGTGTTAGCTTGTCCTGTTCTGTTGCAAGAACGTTTGTACAACAGGGTGGAGAAATTCGTCAATGTAACTCTGTCCCAATGATGTTTCCTTCCAAAATCATCAGATCTGTTTTGACTGGACTAGTGATGACACGTTGCAGGACTAATGACGCTGCACTGACAGGACTAATGATGCTACATTGACATGGCTACAGATGAGTAACACTGGAATAAGTAAGAGAATAAGGTCTAGAATAACATTTTATCAAGAGGATATCCCGATATCATAACAGATTTCGCTAATTCTACACACAAAGTTTGTCAGATATTATAGGAATTTGCACACTATTTCAGTACAGTTTTTTGTGACAGTCATACTAACTCATTCAGATAATCGGTCATGTCATGCCTTGCTGACGAATATGCCAAAGTCACGTATGTCTAACGGCTTGTCAAGGAACGTTTCAAAAAGACAGATTATGTCAAACTGTTTTAGGTTGCTTGTTAGGTCCTTAAAGTTCCACGATAGTATAGTTACATTTTGATGTGGAGTCAGTTCATGTTCATAGATAGCGGATGGTTGTTGTTCTTTAGCTCGGTTGATTGGTCATTTTGCTTGTCAATGCATAACATTGCCTTTCGTTGATTTGGAGTAGATGTCGATGCCGAAGGTTTGAACACAGTTGTACAGGCCTTGGAAGTAGTAGAAATGTTCTGTTGGTCACTCTGGTATTCACGTTAGCCTCGGTTTGAAGTATCTTTAGGCCGTAGGGGTTTAAACATTAGTTACCAACTCTAGTGGAAGCATGTTTTCCGTTCTCGCGTTGTTCGCCTATCGCCTGTGCTTAGTCAAGTCATTGGATATACCTACTGGGGATTTAGTGAAATTTGTTCTATTATGTAGTGTCTTCACGCTGTCCTGTTGGTGCAGGCTTAGCTATTAGTGGCCATGGCCGTCCACTGTCCTATTTATGACCCACACGGTGCCCACGTAAACTAAGAGAAGAGTTCAAGGTGTATTTGAGTTGATCCTATAGGAATTGTACACGTGTCCCGGAATAGGCTTTTATACCACCGGACTCGTTAAAAAGCATAAGGCCCATAGAACATATTGGACGTTAATAGTGCAGGGACGACGCACACTCTATGGTGGCGGAGAGGAGACATTGCTTTCTCGTCTTTAATTACGGCCGCGACAGGCGATACAGCGATAACACGAAATGAAAAAGCGATAACACGAGAAGAGAAAGCGATAGCACGAAAACGCGAAAACGACAACATCAGACGAGATAGTGGCAGTGCCAGAAAGCTATAGAGCGAAAAAGCAATAGAACGAAGCGAGAGTGTAATAAAGCGAATAAGTGATCGTGAGAGAAAGCGTTATTTCCCATAATGCCGTACATGAAAAAGTTTTTTGCTGATATTCAGTGATCCATTCCTAACAATTTCAGTGCTGTTTTTCCTTTTACACCAATAATTTTTCCACATTTTATAGAAGATTAATTTGTTAGAAATAGATACAGAATCCTAAGCATTCCTAAAACGTGAAAACGATAATTGAAACAACGCATGAAAATGCCCCACATTAAAATAGAATAGATAAATTGAAGATAAATGAAAACAATCAGACTTGCTGGCGTTCCATGATTTATTATTTTGGTACTCAAACATACATATACAGTGGAGGGACCCATAGCAATCTCTGGTTGTTTAACGTTTGAATATATTATATTCATGCATTGTTCCTGGTTGTTACAATATACTCATAGATTACCCAACTCATGTCTACCTGAAAGCGGATTATGGTCATAAATAAACAAAGGATGGCATTCATTTGCACCAGCAGCATTTCAAGTAGTTTCAGGTTCAACAGCTCATTTGTTATTTTTAAAATATTAAAATGAGTTATTTAAATACTTAATATATAATTAAAAACATATGCTATTTTATGTATTCTATATCAATTAACTTCCATGTGACCGTGTGTAAGTGCATGTATTTGTTTGCGTGTTCACGAAACCATCATCTGCAAACATCGTTGAAACGTTAACCCTTAAACATATTTGCTTTTTTTCAGATGCCCCGGTCTGTAGCTCTCTTCATAATCCGCACATGTCAGTGATAGAAGGCGAAAGGGTGACCTTTAATTTATCAGTACCAGCTTACCCCAAAGTCTCCTCCGTCCAGTGGTTGTATCAGGACAATCCCATCAACCTAACCAACCCAAGATACAGTGGTGGCACAGTCGCCATACCGTCTCTTACTATAGCCTTTGCTGCCAGGGATGACGCCGGTCTGTATAACTTCACGGCTAACAACACTGTCGGTGGGCTTGAAAAATCAAACTGCACAACTAACCTCACTGTTAACTGTAAGTACCCCAGATAGACGTACAAATTTCTTTCCTTGATCCAAGTTGCACGTGGGACTAAACTTGGTGACCAAAGATATTCTTACACATCTATCTTCAAAGGCTCGCGAAAGTTGGAAACATTTAAAACAAATGTCATCAGACTTTTATGGAGGAAACACTATGTGACACGCTTGACTTGACATTGATAACATCAATACATGCAATTTAGGAATTTTAGCAAAAAAAAGATATTGTGCCAGATTATGTTTGAAAAAATATTTATGCGTCAGATTGTTGGCGGGAAATAAAAATGTTCTGTCACAAAAAATAAATTGTTGAAAGATGATGCTATTTTCAGATTTTAGACATATAATTACTATTAAAGAAATATCTTGGCACAAAGAAGTTACAAAATTAATGTTTGTGTGAATATTGAGATTTCAATAGAGCTCCTGATTTTAAAGGTTTTGATGCTCCACAAGTGTTTTGAGCCATGAAAACTGTAGACAGAGCTTTTGATTTGATTTCCTTACATGCTCAGCAAGTGATTATATTTTGACTCATTATTTTATTTTGAACCATAAAAACTTTAGTTAGAGCCATTGATTTTAATGTCTTTGATTGCTCAGCAGTATATTCTATTTCGAGTCATAACAACTTTATATATCTGATTGTCATCAAGTGATTATTGTTTTAACCATAACACTTTGAGACGGGGCTTCTGAATTTAATGTATTTGATTGTCAGGAAGTATATACACCTAGATATTTAGCACCTCCTGGCCATGAGCATCGATCCCGTTAGTCGCCTCTTACCACGAGCATAGTCGCCTTTTGCGGCTAAAGACCCTATTCTACCCCAGATCTTCACGGATCAAATGTCTTGTGTAAGATGAGACACTTCAATAATAAAACACAGAGAACGATGCAAATGTTTAATATTTTAATTGCAGTAATAACACAGTTTCGATAGTTCTGTATTGAGCAAAATTGATAAACACGAAAACTATGGATCTAGGCAGTTCCAATGTCAGGTATGAACGACCATTTCTGTCACAAAACGTTCATTGTTATCTTGCAAAGATAATCACAATCCTGAAATTCAATCGCGAGTGTAACCGCCATGTGCCTGGATGACAGATTCTACCCTTCTCCTCATTCCTCCAGTGAGTCTTCTGATACGATCAAGAGGTAACTGCTGCAACTCCCGATGCAATGCAGACGCTAAAGCTGCCACATTCTATTCTGGTGGATCCATTGCCTGCAGCCGACATCTGGATGCATAGCGGGCCAAGGCAAAGTGTCAATAGCGTATCCTTGTAGAAATCCAGTCGCAGCACGTACATCGATGGGGGTCTAACATTGTCGTCCATAAACACAGCTCGAGTGACAAGCGCATGATTGTCAGCATGTGGCACAACAGGATTGAGGATGTCCTGGATGTAACGATCACTGCTTTGGTAACGAGACCCCACCATACGGGACTGTTTGTACACTGTTCCTGAGGGTATACGCAGTGTTTCTGTGTCTTCAAATCCGCATTCGCCCATATGTGACTTGCAACAAGAATATGCCTTTATCAGACCAATCCGTCGCCACGTCCTCAGATTCCAATGACATCGAGCCATACACTAAGCAAATCAAAGTCTCTGATGATGAGCAGTTAGCAAGGGATAACTGGTGTCCCTTCATCAATTCAACCCAAATGATTTAGCCGGGTTTAAACAGTTCTGGTGGACAGATGCGATCGAGTTGGCATTTCTTAGAGCTTTACTCATATCAAATGGTTGTCGCCTCACAAAAAGTGCTAGAGACCTGCCTTCCCATACAGTTGTCTTTCGGGGTGGCCCTGGTCGTAGACGATCCTTTACTTCACGTGTCTGCCCGTGTCTTGTCACAAGTCCGCTGATGACACTATGTTAATATCCAAGTTGACGTCCAATGTCTCTATACGACATACCTCTGTCATCCATGCCAATAATTTGCCAATGGAATGCCTCCGTCAGCCTTCTGCGTGCCATGGTTACAGCCATTCTCTGAACGAGTGTCATGACAATTGAATTTTTATTAACAGTTATATCACTGTTCTTTATTTTGTCAGGGGATGCTTAATTAATTTCTAGGTGTATATTTTGAGCTATAACTGCAACAAACTCTTGTTTTACAGACGGCCCTGATCTAGACTGCTTCAACCCAACTGCAACAATCAATGAGATGGACCGTTATGTCTTTGCAATTAATGTTACATCTTATCCGAAACAGTCACGTGTTGACTGGTTCAAGGGGAATAACCTTATCGACAGAAATGACACTCGTTTTGCCAAAGGTAACGTCAACATTCCGTCCTTAACGCTTATGAATGCTAGCCGTAAGGACACCGGGAACTACAGCGTCAATGTCACCAACGACGTCACCAAACAATTTGTTCACGATTGTCACACCAACCTTATAGTCCAGTGTAAGTTCCAGATAGTTTTCAATTGTTCAATGTTTAATGACAATGTGCTTTTATGTGCTACGAACTGCATTTCATAGTTAAACATACAATTTTGCATATTTCCGTGTGTCTTTGTGAACTTGAAATTCACAACTTATAGTGCCTTCACTTCAGTGTTCCAAAATCTTCAGCATGGTAGGAAATGGTTAGAGTAATCGATGATAACAGGTACAACCTTCATATCAATTGATATAAATTTAGAAGTTAATTACATAGAGAATCTCATACGAGTTGATAAAAGTGGAAAGACTCTGTGGCTTGCCGAGGAGTTTTACCACTTTTAACAACAAGTGTTGATATATTTGATGTCAAAAGACACGAGGGTGAGATTTTATTTATCATCCAACATCCATCTTCCTTTTTCAGTGTGTAGACCGTAATAAGCAGTTTCTTAAGTGTAAAAAGTACTGCTAACAGCTTCAGTAGCAGAGCCATTAGTGATGTCATTTAATTGTGATGTCATGGTAACCAATGACGTCACAATCGTCTGCAAAGCATTGTGATGCAATGTCATTGCTACAATATCTACAATGTAGGTATCGCTTGACCTCACCTACGCGATATCTCCTGTTTGGAGCCAGTTTTAGATGATAAATCACAGTTCAAGCAATTCACGTGATTGTGAGAGTGTTTCATCAAAATGTAAGGTTTTTTCAAAGGGTAGAACAACTTCGGAATGGAAAGCAGCTAGTCATACTAAAATGTCAATCCTAATTAACCTTTTCTCGTCAGGAAAAAAACTCTCCTTACATGCTTAGATTGAATTTTATGTTTAATCTTTGATATTACATTACATTGTCAGACCGACCAAGCTGTAAGCTACTACATCCAACTCCATATGAGATCAATGAAGGTAGCAGCATTACAATCAACGTCACAGTAATGTCGTTACCTCCTCCAACGTTTGTGGACTGGAATCTGAACGGCACCGCCATCTCCAGAAACAACTCTCACTACAGTGGCGGTAACGTCACGGTCCCATCCCTTACCATAAGCGACATCCGACGAAATGGCACTGGGTTTTACTCCATACAAGTAACAAATATCGTGGGTGGAGTTACAGATATATGTCGGGTCTTCGTCAGAGTCCTATGTAAGTATTTCTGTAGCCAGATTGATCATGAACACTATATATGTTATTAACTGATGCTGGAACGATCGGACGGGTTACATCAAGTCGGACCCGTTATCTCGAACACAGCGGGACCAACTCACTCACTCAATCACACATTATGAAAATCCAGCGTTGAAAATAGACTGATAATTAGGCCATTGACTGTTCTCTCACGGTGCGTCCTGTCAATAACGTGCGCAGCTTTCTCCGAGATAGATTTTGAGAAACGTCATGTTCGTAGTAGCTTTTATATACACAAACATCACCAAGTTAGAAACATGTGCATTCAAAAACTCTAGCTTCAGACCCGGTTCATTGAAGGTGAGGGCTTGTTGGCTTTGTGATTTATTACAAGTAAGCATGTGATGTATCTGAAATTGCTTGTAATTATCATCAGCTACATCATTGTTCCGTTCGGAGCTCGAAAGATTCATATCACGAGATCGCATCGGTTCACATGAGGATGATATTTCTAACGACTGTCCACTTTGTCCAAGGAGCAGTACTCTCATTTACAACACGGTGTTCAAGGTCGAAAGTAGACGCGATAAATGTTGTGATGATCTTTCGACATCACATTTTGTTTATTGGTGACGCTTTGAATCGTTTTATGCCACGATGCTTGCACTACTACAGTACAGAAGTGAGAGTCCGTACACTCAGGCTGTTTGAAGTGTGAAGCCCATTTCTGGTGTCCCCCTTCGTGATACTGCTGGAGTTTTGCTTAAAGCGCCGTAAAATCATACTCACTGTCAAATTCGATTTAAAACGTATTTGATCGTAAGACCTGAGATAAATCACAGGTTACTGCAAATGCTTACAGAATGGATATATTCACGTTAAATATGTCAATTATACGGTTCTGAGATATACGCGTAGTGTGTCTATGCATCTACATCTTCCCGAGGCAAGAGAGTTAACTGACTTTAAAAGTCCAGTTTCCACCCTTGCCGAAATTGGCTGGAATTACTGGGCTCGATCGTAGCGCCACCGGTGGCTATTACCAGCTATATCCCTTCTAAGCCTCTCCTATGGACCAATCAGATTCCACTACTCGTATTACTTGCGTTTGCTTCACACAAAATGTAGAGTTATAAACCTGGCTATTTTTGTTAAAGAATATTTAATTATTTTTGTGCTCTGTGAACGACATCCACCCCACCTCGAGACCAAGTCCAAGATCCGTTTAATATATCAACCAAGTTTTGTTGATCGATATTGAAGGGCATGAACTCCACCACCTTTTGGGGGGAAGTCCAAATTGATTGCACACTGACCCCCCTCCTCTTATTTAGAATTTGAAACTACTATTACTAAATCAAGAGCCTTCGTGCATTTATTCTTTAAAGAAGGTCAAATGATGATGAAACATTATTCCTTAGAATTTGGCTTCTTTTACAGCTTTAATAGGAGTGTCATCTAAAAATATTTCCGGTTCATTTCTTCAACAAAAAGGAATACAGTTTGTTTTGGAGTTTGAAAATTTAAATTAATTTTCTAAAGACCATTATGTTCTTTTAAAAACATAATTGCAGTTGCCGTTCAATAGTATTCATATTTTTGCCACAAAAAGAGTTCCATCAATTGAATCACTTAAAACGTTTTATAAACTGTTGATCTTTATGCTAAATAATGTGACAGACAATATACTCAATGTGGGACACCATGATCCTGATGATGACAGGACTGAGCCCATGCCAGTCAAAAAATAAGTGGATATTATATATATACTCACACGCAAAAAAAAACGCGAGTGGTTTTAATCAAATAGGTAACAAACACGGAACTATAAACTGATACGAGTTTTAGCATGTAGTGAAGCCTGATGGTGTTATCAATATTTTTTGTTGCATTTTGGAAGCCTCGAGTAAAAACGCAACATAAAACAACGAATCGCCAAAACGCACCATTTCAATGAATATGTGGGTATCATGCACCAATTTCTCGCGAAATCGAAAATGCACGAACTGTCACGAATTGTAGTGGGTATAAAACTGTGCAGTCTGGTCATTTTGGTCGAAATAAATGGCCAACCTCAAGAAAATTGCAACAGAAATAATTCATATTTTATGTTATTTGGTAGCATGTCAGCTTTCAGGAAAAAAAAGTCTACCAAAATCAACTCATGGGAATGACCTTTCTCAAGGTCACAAGATATAGGCCTATATAATTCGTATTTTCGTATTCTTGGATATTTGTAGGAAGGAAGAGATTCAAATTTATTATAGTTTTCTTTCTAATATAACTCAATTAAAGAACAATCTGGGTATACAACTTTTATTTACTTTCTAAAAAATATCACGGGGACAATTTAATTTATTATAATAGTTCAAGGTCAAATAGAGGACATATATGAAGAGTGGCCGAGAAGTTAAATGTTGCCATAGATTTTCAAATATTGGAATGAAGTCATACATATTATATTCAAATGTAAGAAAATCACACTTCATATATCATTTTAAGAACTTAATGTACTAATTGTGGAAGAAATCACCTAATTGTGTGTGTGTGTGGGGGGGGGGCGTCATACATAGCCATTAATAATTGTAGCCAGTGACAGTCTGAGGTAACAATGAGCAAGCCTCCAAGCCTCCGACTGAAATATTTGCTATTTTATGTTATTTGGATGCAAGTTTTGACGTTTATATAATTCCAAAGACAATGGATGATTTTGATAAGTCAAGTGTCCTTCAATACAAGTTTTACAATTTCGTACAAGTGATAATATTTTGTCCGTAGAAACGGGTCGTGGCAGAATGTTCCTTTGATTGAGACTCTGCCCGAATTGTGATTCGCGTACAATGGGAAATGAATATCATATGTTCCAGTGTACTTGTTTTAGATTTGAAAGAAAATTATTACCAAACTATTGTCGTATAAATCCCAACTTTTATAAACTCCGAGCTCTGCCAGTAAATAATCGAGCCTGGACCAGACAATCCAGTGATTGACATCATGAGCAGCGATCCACGAAATTGGGATCGATGACATGTATCAACCAAGTCAGCGAGTCTGACCACCCGATCCCGTTAGTAGTCGCCTTTAACGACAAGCACAGTCGCCTTTTACAGCAAGTATATATGATACTGTGATGTTGTTGTGCTAGATGTAAATAATATAACGTAGCTGTTGTTTGGAAAGATAATCCAGTAATAAAACACTTACAGAACAATAATCATCTTTAATGTCAATTATATCATGTATGCTATTTCTCATATCACTTTAATACATTGTAATTTGTATGTGTATCATGTTTGGGAGAGGCATTCAGATAAGTAGAATTAGCTTGTTTGCCAATCCCTCCACTTTATGGAAATAAATATGTTAATATCATAAAGAACTGGAACTTGGTAACGCATGGGTAGTTGGCCGACTATAGTCTATATTCTGGTGAAAGGGGCCCCGGCGAAACTCATGTCAGCCGGTTATCTAGTACTGTCGCTGATACGCTGAGTGAACACAGGCTATACTGACTATAGATTCATTTATTTTAGTGAGCGAATCTATTCAATTTGAGTATAAGTACAAGAAAATAATAGACTATTGCATAGCATAGCAATATGGCAAACGCTAAAGTGAGTGAGTATGGTTTCACGCCGCTTTTAGCAATATTCCAGGTATATCAAGGCGGGGGACACCTGAGTTAGTGAGTTGGGTTTGACGCCGCTTTTGACATTATTCCAGTTATATCACGGTGTGTCAGCTTAATGTGGAAGGAAAGCCCGAAGTGATGCAGGTCTTAGACGTTTACCTCTTCGGTGAAACCCACGAGCACGGGTATGGTGCTGACAAACCTAGAATGGTAATCGGGGCGAACCGGGATTCGAACCCACAATCATAGGTTTCTGGGGTGCCCAAGGGACGCAACTCTGCACAGCGAATCGCGACGCCTTAGACGATTGGGCCACCCGTGCCCCCGAGAGCAATCCCATTAAAATCAGATCTTAGTTCTCGCTACCGCTAGACAAAGATCTGATGACATCCCATTACGGGTCACTTAAGAACGACCTTTCTCGAATTTTGACCGACCAATGAATGACTGACAAGAAAACGACATCTGCCAATCAGAAGGCAGCTTTCTCGAGCTTTACGACACTAGTTTCAAACTGGCGACGACGCTTCGAAACATATTTTGACGTATTCTCGATTAAAAAAATTAAAACTGATAAGAAGAACACACTCGAATGGCTTATAGATGGCCTGGATTGTATGGACATAATCATAAAACCCGTAACTGTCGTTCGGAATACCCCGTGTCAAATATTTCGTGGTTGCATGATTAGAAAACACGTTCCGACTGTCACTTTCATGATCTGGTAAGCGACGCTCTGATTGGTTGGATGAAAGGTCGTTCTGACGCGACCCCTAATGGGATGTCCTCAGATCTTTGTTTGGCGGTAGCGAGTACAAAGATTTGATTTTAATGAGATTGCCCCGAGGGACACCAGAAATGGGCTTCACGCATTGCACTCATGTGGGGAATCGAACTAGGGCCTTCGGCGAATAAACACACAAGTGCCTCGCTGTATTCAAAACAATCTTTGGGGACAGTATTTGGTCTACTCCTGCTACAAATTTAGTTTCAAGTCAAGAAACGGAAACTGGCGCTGTTGTCTGAGATCATGCCGTTCCAGAATGGTAGCCGTAATTCTGAAAGAAGAAAAATGTCTACAGCATCGAGCCAAAAGAGAGTAAAGTTTTTTAAATTCCTATATATTTCAAGTAATTACATCTGCATCTGCTGAATTTTCCTGGTTCCGTTTTTCACCAATTTCCCAGACAAAAAAAAAGTTACAAGCCGGTTAAAAGAGTTAATTTTGTGACTTTAAACAGTAAAACAAAATGCACTCAAGACGAGAAATGTCAATATCGGATGTTTTAGAAATAGGTAACTTGTTCCGATATCAATATTGTCAAGATTGGTTTTAAAACGTAATGAATTTAATTACGTACGCATTACGCAAATGATTATACATCATGTCACTCATGGGCTTCCATACATTTTTTATTTTATCAAGGAGGGTCCACTTTTCGATATAACTTTATTCATAATTATGTTTCTAATAATTGTAACAATGTTGGATGAATTTATAAAAGACAGGAATATGGTTATCGGTCGTGTTTAACACACAGGTTCTCTGCTGGTGCGGCCGTAGTTACATAGCAGACGACGCTTCACAATGTATGGTTGATGAGCATGTTAGAAGTATATTGGAAGCCAACTGCTATTATTTTCATCATTATTAATTACATTTTTAAATAAATGTGTATTTGTCAACTTACCATGAAATAATACGGCTCCGTTATCGTTGTTGTTTTTCTGAATATTTTCCAAGGCACTAGCAGGATCACTACGAATTATCTCCCTTTGCGAGCTCTTCTTGATGTACGGCGGCCCGTAGATGCCTTATTCTCCTCGTTGGTTTTTATCTCTTTTGATGCGGGAATTAACCATTTTCCCGAAGGTTGATTTTGGTAGACTTTTTATTACAAACTCAAATACATTCAATTAACAGGAAACAGTCGTAAAATATTCTGTTGCAAATTTCTTGAGGTTAAATTACAGAATGACCAGACTAATGGTGGCGCCCAGTCAGGACGATCTGATCGATAATCATGATCTATGTTGTGATAAAACGGGTCTTACATCGCGAAATGCCTCAAATCACGCGAGCACGTTGATTAAAAACATGAAAAGATTTGGAAAATATCTGCTGACAACGAGTTGGGGGTGCACATGCTTTGCAAATCCTGCAATCGACCGAAATCTGCACGACGGTTTACGAACCGGATTTCGATTTCGGTGCGCAGTTTTGATTGGACTATGCATAGACTCGTTAGTCCAGCCAAAATGTAACTCCATAATACCAGCCTAGTTCGGCAAGGGTTGAAACTGGACTTTTGTAGTCAGTTAACTCTCTTGCCTCGGGAAGATGATGCATCTATGATGTTTTGTTGTGTATAGCGAGAGACAATCGAGAATTTTCCTCATTGCTACCGATGCCCCCATTCGAATGACCAGTTGTTGTCAAACACTGAGCCGTCCGCGTGGTATTAAACACGGTTTACTAAAGGTTTATTGTTATTAAACGTGTGATATCCTCTGGGCGTGTAACAAAGCCGAGTGAGTGACACGTGGTCTTGGGATTTACACAAAAGTCGGCTCACCAAGGTTTGTTTGCACTTTATGTTCCTGACTCCTGTGGATGAAACTAGGTTTGGAAATGTTGCAGGTGATATCTGTTTTTGACTTTATTCCGGATTTTACAACCTGATAACGGTTCAAAATTCATATTCAAAATAGTACGCTCAAAGTTTGAACCGTGTCCAAGATTCTTAGGTGCACGAATTGCCTTCCAGATTCGTTTAACTTAGATTCTGGTATTCACTTGTTTTTGGTTCAAATTTCGCTCCGACTATGGAATTTGGTCTGGTGTCCCTCGCCGTGATATTGCTGGAATATTGCAAAAAGCGGCCTTAAACCATGCTTATTCACTATGATATTTGGTATATCAGAACACATCCCTATTGAGTTAACCAAAGTGGTAAATGTTTCCTTCCTCACTAACCTCACGTACCAGACAGCTGAATTCTGTTAACTGCGTTAAACTTCCTTCCTTTTGGCTCATTCCTGTAACTCTTTCTCTGTTACCTACTGAATATGACTCTTGGGTTTTTAAATACCATGCACCGTGAATTTTGGTTTCGTCAAAGTGGTTAACACTATAAGCTGCCATACGATCACTGAACATACTTCTGAACTGTACTTACTAACTTACTTGTTCATGTTAAGGGATACGCAATCATCCATACATTGAAAGAAATAATCTTATTTTGTCTTACAGATCGCCCCGAGTGCATTATTCTCTCAAATACCACCTTATGGGTCACGGAATATTCTTCAATCACAATCAACGCCGCAATCGACGCCGTCAAGTCACCAACCACGGTCGATTGGAAACTCAACAACATCCTTGTCAATAGGACAGGGGACCGGTACACAGGAGGCAACAAGCATGAGAACCCGTCGTTGAACATCTCGGGCATCACACGTTGCGATGCGGGTATATATACCCTGACTGCTTTGAACGGCGTCGGAAGCGTTTTGAACGAGTCAAACTGCAACGTCAATGTTTCTGTGCAATGTAAGTAGTTTACTCAATTCCTTTGTCGATGGTGTGTTGAATGTATTTTATATGGAAAAACGTCAACTTATTCTTTTGAGTGAATGAGTGAGTTGGGTTTATCGCCGCTTTTAACAGTATTCCAGTTATGTCACAGCGTGTCAGTTTCATGTCGGATGCAGGCCTGAGACGTTTACCACTTCGGTGAAACCCAAGAGCACGGGTATGGTGCTGAAACATAATCGGGGCGAAGCGGGATGCGAAGCGGGATGCGAAGCGGGATTCGAACCCACAATCATAGGTTTCTGGCGTGTCCAAGTGACGCAACTCTGCACAGCGAAATGCGGCGCCTTAGACGACTTGGCCATCCGTTCCCCATAATATTTTGTAACAATTGAGTCTGACCAGATGTACAGATGTTCCAGCTCCTGTATCACTGAAGATTTACATATTGCTTTCAACTTGTGTACTCCTTTAACACCCTGGATGCCGAGTTTTATATAAGTTCTGAAAATTAAATGTTGTGGTAGAACTGGGGTCGCGAGGCACTGGGTCTAGCGCTGACGATACATGTACGCACAAAATGTAGAATACAACACTACCAATCACAGGGTGTATTATTCATTTTAAATATTGGTTGTATTTGACTAACAGACAGTGTTAAGTGTTATCCTTAATTTTGTTGTGCGAATAAAAATAACACATTTCACTACTTTTAATCATACACCGATAAAGGTACTACGCGACATTTTGTTACATTTACCTTTACAATTGTCGTCCGAAACCAGTTTCCATGTGAGAAAAAGCTTGGATGAAATCAAAGGAAATCAAAGGAGATCTCCGAGGATATATTGCTGCAATGACGAGACCTCAGCGGTTACCATGGCGTTGCTATCAAATGACATCACTGTTCTGTCTGTCTCTGAAAAGTGTGAGCTGTACTTTCTACGCTCAAGACACTGGTTATTTGCATTTAGTAGTTCACGAACTAATAAATGGCTTCATTGCGCAGTATCCAAACCCTAGGCTAATTACTGCTGTAACTGAATGACACCTGTAACTAAATCATCCCGAGTCGGCCCCTGCTCCATGCTATGGGCTAGAAGAGTCAACCTTCCTTTGTTCCATCGTCTCTAGTCGGCCATTCGCGCACCGGCTCTCTTCAAGTACACACATTATTCGCTTTTCTATTTGCTTTCGCTTTGTTCGTTTTGCTTTATTCACAAACGATATCGTTTTCCGATTTATGCTTTAAATACCCAACAATGTCATCGCTCATTGTATCGGATCTATTTCGCTCAACTCCCGAAATTTACCCCAGGCACATTTACCACTTGTTGATTACCGTCTACATCAACCCGACATTCCGCGATGCCTCCAAAGAGAAGAGCAGCCATCAAACACAAACTCGTGAGAGGAGTCAAGGACAACCGAGCGTGTACATGCCACAGCCGATGGTGAGTTTTATAATAACATGAATAACGAAGGTGGCATCCACACAGCTTCTTAATGCCACACAGGCTACTAACTCGGGTAATATGCCCCTATTTCACTACGACCACGAATATACCGAATCACCCCGAAAAGGAAATTTTTCATGTTCGTAGATAAATGTCAGTCATTTCTTGAAGTTCTTACATGAATCTTATTTGTTTCCCAAACATTCGTACAGTTCGCGGGAATTCGTCGAATCGGCGAGAAAGTTTTTGTTTGTCAAAAACAGTCGTGGAAGGGTCCCTGAACTGCAATTTCATGGCTGTATCGTAATCCATTCGTAAATAATTCTTATGTTCCGTAACAGCTTCGTAATCGATTCTTTTGCATTCTTGGCTATTCTTAGCGATTCGTGGCACCCAAAATCCCGAAACAGCCACGAATGTCCCGAGTCAACAAGGAATCATGTAAGAATTATGTAAGATCAACATTCGGCATATTCGTAACTTAGACGTAGGTGATTCTTACAATTCGTGCATGATCCGTACATGAATCTTGTAATTCGTACATGTTTCTTAACCAATTCCTGGAATTCTTCTTACATTATTTGCCGAATCGTCACAAATTTGGAAAGTTTCCGATTCGGGGTGATTCGAGATATTCTTAGTCGTAGTGAAAAGGGGGCATAACCAGGTAAACCAGCAACTGGAAAAAAATCCCTCAGTTACTGGAACAGTCATCAACCAAGTAAGCAGCAACCGACCGTGACAAACTCGACTTCAGCTTCAGGGAAACATCACCAGCGAGGTATGCTGGGGGACTGTGATAAATCTTGTTGTGGCAGGTACAACTGTAAGTTCCTTCACAAATGTGATGCGGCAGAAAGTCTTAATGAACTAGGACCTGCTTTCGGGGGAATCGGGTCCAACAGACCCCAAACAAGCCCAACCGATAAGAATGGTAAATTCAGTGGCCCATTCCCCCGTGGATATCAATGAAATGGCATCCTGGTTACACCAGTTATAGAGTTGTGAGGTTTCACTTTTGTGTTTCAAGCTTGAATTCGATGAGCTGCCTTGCTCAAGACTTGCGATCAGCAAGACACTGCAAGCTACGTCAAACAAAAGCTTCAAAAGGAAGTTGACCATGAAAGGATGCCGGGACCCTTTACGGACATCCCCTTAGACAACCTGCAAGTATCTCCAATAGTCCTGGTGCCAAAGAAACAACCATGCCATGTTCAACATTCGGGTCAGCATGCCGATCATGTCCGTCTAATTTACCATTTATCTTATCCCAAATGCAAATCTATAAACAACTATAGATGCAGAGGCCTGCTCCGTGGTGTTTGTTAGATGTGAAGAAGCTATTGACATGGTTCCACAACTGGGAAAGGGGCCCTAAATTCGTGATCTATCCTTTGTTCCAGCTAGTTGGCCATTCGTGCACCGGATCTCAAGTACACACGTGCACGTGTTTCGCCGTACCAATCACTCTCTCCCCCGCCAAGTTTGTTGCTCATCCTCTAGCCTTATTCAATCTGTATTTGTCCATTTCATTTTCAATTTTTATTTCTCTTTTTCTTCAGCTTTTATGTATGTAAATAAACCTGTAACTAAAATGGTTTCCACAATGCTTGTATTCATGTAAATGAATATGTTCTAATGATACTTGTTTATATGAAAATAAACATGGTTTAGTGTCTGTACATTTGTCAAGGCCTGTCTCAACAATGAACAATGTCGAGGTGTGCGTGGTTCTTGTGGGATGCCCTGCTAGTAGAGAGTGAGTGAGTTAAAATTTAATACAAGATAAAAGCGGGCTATAGATCGCCAGCCACTGAAGGTAGACCACCACACTGGGGACCATGGGGACTTACAGCACCTTTGCTACCTGCGTTGACCCCAGCAGGATTTACATCATCCCTTCAGTAGCTGGCGACTGTACCCAATGTTAGCCACAATTAAAATTAATTACAAATATTCTACGTTTAAAAGAGTAGTAGGCAGAAATATTCTTTGAATGACGTGGACTTACGATATCCATTTAGGGGGACAATAATTTTACGGACAATAATTTTACGCTATGTCAACCACCATTGAGGATACAGCCAGTAAAAAACTCAGATATAAATTCATATTTTAATAAGGTCATTTGTTTTATACTAAACATATTATCAAAATTTAAAACAAAGTTACGTGAACTTTAATGACAGTTGGGTAGATGCAATCATTTGGCTAACTTTCCAATAGTTTGAGTATGGGTACTTAATCGTCCATAGTTTTCCTTGAAAGGTCCCTCCTCCCATAGTTAAAAAAGAGCGGTCACCCTCCCATAGTACAGCATGATTTTTGCAAAATTATTTTGTGATACATTCTCGGGAGAAGATACAGGAAATGTGTCCTATAATCTTCACTAACTTCAGCAAAATATAACAGGTTGGGGATGCAGGTTTACTGGATTTCCTCTGAATGATGTTGTCAACGCAGGCTTCCATCTCCGCAGATGTCCTCTACGATTAAATAATAAATTAATGCATTTATGAAAATGATCTGGTTTGTTTATTCCGTGTAATGAACGATAATCATTCATGTTTGGCCCCATTCAAAACATTTCCCTTTTATTAACTACCATCCCTTATACGTAAACTAAATACTAGATTTTTCTTTTTCATGTTTTAGATATAACACATATACGAAAATTTGTTCTTTTTCAAAGTGACTCCCACACAACTGAGCTTTCTGTTCGATAACTTGAGGGCGTATGAATAATAATATTAGTAGTATTTTACGGACAGGCATATAATACGAACCAGCGCAAATGTATCAACAAACCATACCTTTTAGCTTCGTATTGCCACAGACCTGTGCCCTGTCCTCTCAGCGATAAGCTGTTCGTCTAGGCCAGAGTCATACAGACGTGTTGCAGTGGTGGCCCTCAGGGAGTGGTTGGAATAAAAACTACTAAAACCTGCCACTTTACACAGTCGTCCGAAAGTGCCTCTTAAAGGATGCAATCCATTCGTAATGTCAGCACACTATGTATTGTCTCTCACAAATTTCAAGGGCCTAAAGTAAAATGCGGTGCATATTCCGTCTTTAGGTCTGAACATAACATAAAAAAAACAAAATTAATACAAACACATGAGTTTTCAATATCTAAACATCGAGTTAAAGTGAGTAATGACAATGCCCCGCGCACAGGGGTGTGAACTTCATTTTGTTAACTTAATGACGCCCAATGTAGTATGACATCATAATTAAATATTGTTCAAGTTTACCATCGACGCTAAAATATGTAATGCTTCAAATTATACTCAACAACAAAAGTTCCTGTGTCACCAATATTTCAGTGTATTTTTCAAACAAGTAAAGATTGGTTTTCAATATTGTAGTACATGTATGGAATTAAGTCACAAAAACGCAACTGCTACAGAAAAGCATGCATTCCATGCAAAAGTTGACTTTTATGCAAGCCCCTTGCATTTCACTACCCAAGAATGGGTATAAAAACATATGCGTTAACGGGATTCCATATGCATTGTTTACCATCGTGCTGACAATGAGAAAAAAAAAAAAATACGCAAT